GGCTTGCCGCGGGGCCCGCCTCCCCGACGCGTCTCTTCGGATGCCATTGGCTGCATCCACAGTGTGGCCGAAAGCCTGGCCGTCGATTGGGCGTTCGGGCCGTCAAATCCCGCGCTGCCCACCCAGAGGTTTGGTTGAGACTGCAGGTGGCGGCGGAGGTGCCTTAGAGACTTCTGGCAGGGCCAGAGGAGACCTAAGCGCCACCGTGCGCCAGGACATGGAAACTGCATCTCCGGCGCCAGACACCTGCCCGCAGGTTCTCTTGGCTCCGCGTCTGACACTCCAGACACCTGCTGGCATCCACCCGCACCTCACCCCACCCCGCATCCCCCCCAGCTCCGGAACCAAAAGTCAAGGGCTATAATTTCTCCAAATACCTCCCTCAAGTGCGACAGAGACGCAACTCTCCCAAACGAGCATCCTTTTGAACCACCTCGAATGCAGTCCCTGTCTTCATCTTGCGGAAATGGTCTCAGCTCGGTGCTATCCCTCATAGAGGATCTAGTCACAAAATTTCAAGAATCCACCAAAACACAGCATGATTTGCCTGCTCAGTCCTCTTCAGGAAAGATCACAAGGTTGGGTGGGTGCAGACTCTTTAAGAAAGGAATTGTTTTTTTTTAATTAACGTCAAAGAAAAATCAATCCTGCAAACGGAATCAATGCCATAACTAAAAGGAATGTGTTCCATTTTGAAAGGCCTAAACAGAATTGATTCCCGAGTGTGAACTAGCCATTCTGTGATACTGTAGATGATTAAGTTCTACACCAGTTAATCAATTTTAAAATAAATTTTACTGCATTTTTTTTTTTTACCTAAGCATGCAAAACTACCAACAAGTAGTAAGCCCGATAAATATTACCTTTCCTCTTCTACTGACAAGGCCATCCTTGAAAATAAGGAACACCTCACTAATATAAAATTCTTTAAGGTAAGTCCCTTCTACATCTCTATTGCTGTGTACAGCTGTTGTTTGTGCATCTTATCTGTTTGGGGTTGGGAAGAGGCATAAAACTTTCTCTTAAGCTCCTTCTATTTTATTTATGATCAATAACGTGGCAGCCTGTAACAGCACAATGAGTGATGGACAAATTTCTCTCTGCTATTCCTAAATGGGAAGAATTAGGATACTAGTTTTTCACAAAACCAAAATGTATTTGGTGTAAATGAATGTTTTTTTATTTTCTTTATGTGTATATATTTTTTAGTTGTCAATGGACCTTTATTTTATTTATATGCAGTGCTGAGAATCGAACCCAGTGCCTCATATATGCTAGGCAGGCACTCTACTACTGAAAACAACTCCAGCCTGTGTTCTTTATTTTTAGATTTTTTTCTTTTACACCCTTGATGTTAAAATTGCCTTTTATTTATTTATTTTATGAAGTAACAGTGATAGTAAACTGTACTGGTTATTTTTTATTTTGGGGATTGAACCCAGGGCCTCACATGATAGACAAGCGCTCTACATCTGAGCTACCTACACTCCCAGCCCTCTTGTGGAATTTTGAAAATGGATTTGACAGGGGGAAAAAAATGTTATTAAAACCCTAATGTTCCCCCACATATTTTATGTAATTCCAAAGTCACAGAACTACAAATCACCTCAATCCTGTTCCACCCATATTATAAATCCAGAAAGGTGCCAGGCATGGTGGCACACAACTATAATCCTAGCAACTCAGGAGGCTGAGGCAGGAGGATGCCAAGTTTGAGCCCAGCCTTGGCAATTCAGTGAGACCCTGTCTCAAAATGAAAAATAAAAAGGGCTGGGGATACTGCTCAGTGGTTAAGCACCCCTGGATTCAATCCCTAGTACCAAAAAATAAACTTGAAAATTTTAAATACAGAAAGTGATAATAATTCCAAAATAATTTTAGTCAAGAAGGGAGGAGAGATTAAAGGGGGTCTTGATGAAGATCATCAACTCACTAGGGAAATAATATTGAAATGTCACTATTCAGTTTCTTGCATGCTAAGCAAGTACTCTACCACTGAGCCACAACCCCTGCCCTCACTATTCTGTTTCTTATAAAAATATTGACTAAGGGGCTAGGTTTGTGGCTCAGTGGTAGAGAGCTTGCCTAGCATGTGTGAGGCACTAGTTGGATTCTCAGCGCCACATATAAAAAATAAAAAACTTGTATATATAAATAGTGACTAAAATCCTTTGCCTACTTTTCTTCCATGATTAGCCAGTCTTCCATGATTGGCCAGCCCTCTCTGATAAGTAATAGACAGTGTCAACAGAACTGCAGCTCTTCTTATACCTTCCCAAGTACCCTCAAGTCTTACCTTCATGTTGTGCCCAAGTTCTGGCAATCTCTACTTCAGTCCTTTTACATTGTAAAACATGTATATCCCACCATTCCAGTCAACATTTCACACTTCCTCTTTTTAAATATTCCTCTAATCACTCCATCCTATAGCAAACATTTCCTTCTCCAAATTGGTTTTACTTACAAAGCTCTGCTGTTAGCCATTGTTTCATATCTCCGAAACCGCACTGATTTGGGGCAAGGTGTGATTCCTCAATAAACTGGCATCTTTAGGGCCAAGTTCTGAGCCCTAAAGTATTAGGTTACTTTAACACTGATCTACATCCTATCCTTTTTTAAGATAGGGTCTCACTAAATTGCTGAGGCTAGCCTCAAACTGTTGATCCTCCTGCCTCAGCCTCCTGAGTTGCTGGGATTATAGGAGTATGCCACTATGCCCAGCTACTGTGCTATTTTTAATACTGAGATCAACCTTGTATGGTACTCTCCTATTTTAGACACAGAAATTTAAGATTCAGAGAATCCAATTTGCTCAGGGTCACATAGCTACAAAAACCAATACTGCTTAAAATAGAAGGCTTATGATGTATTCTGGTGTGCCCTACAGGCATTCAAGTTCCAGCTCTCCTGTGCAACCTTGGACAAGTTTCCCATCCTCTCTAAGCCTATTTCCTTGTCTGGTGAAAACAAAAGAGAGGTAACATAGTGACAGACCCCTTAGTAAGGGTACCATAAAATAGGGCATTTAGCTAAGTGTGCGCAATACAGGTATCTTTTATACCATTCCCATTTATATATAAAAATCAGAGTGCTGAGGACCATAGTGGGTACCCAGGTATTTATACTATGTAAGAAATACTTTTGTTGACACACACGAATTTGCTATCAATTTTTCGATCATTTTTGAATCAAGAAAACATTTGAATGATCTAAGTCAACATGAAAGCTTTCTTCTCATGCTGGGAAGAAAGGTACACATTCATCAACTGATTAACAAAGAAACATAAAATTAAAAAATGGGGAATAAGGAACCAACCTTCCTGAAGCATCTAGTATGTTTGGGATCATGCTAGGGGAATTTCCAAGCTTCTCTTTTGGTTCTTTTCTACTTCTGTGTATTTCCTTAGCAAACACACAATTGAAAGAGTTGTGATGATCTCATGAAGCATGCTTCTGGGCTCTGCATCCAGGTTGTAACAATGAATATATTTCCATGGAACAGAACATAGCCCAGAACCAACTGCAGAACAACAATTTCACTTCTGTTTATCAGTCAAGCAACCAAGTGAAGGAATAAGCCTTTTTAATTTAAAATATGTTATATAAAACACTAACTTTCTGTCAGGATATACTACAGACTATGCATTAGATAAAATTATTTTTTGACAAACTTCCTATAATCCTTTTATTAATTTACACTGAGGGAATACAGCACCTTTCACCCAAAGAACTGAAAGTGCTTTACAAACATTAGAATTTAAAAAACAATTACATTTAAAAATCTGGATTCTTGCTGTTAAAATCTCTTCGACTTGATACATAATTATCTGAATGCTGATGGAAAGCCATTCTGACAATGACAGAGGTTCAGAAAGAGTCCTGATTTTCTTTCACATTATCAGCATTTTCCAAAACCTGTTCTGGGCTGAGAACACAAAAACACACAAATCTTAATGCAATAAACAATATCTTGAACCTTATGTCAAAAGTAAAACTCAACTTTTAAAGAAGTCAAATCTTCCAATAGTTCTAGACATCCAGTTGGAATAGAAGCTGATGCCAGGGGTACACTAGATGAACTCTTGATTCAGGCATTTTAGGATCACACCCAAAGGAACACAAAGTAGTGAGATTTTCCAGTAAAACACTGACCTCTAAAAAGCTAGCCAAGGGCATGTTGGTCATGAGGAAAGGGAGTAGATGGCAATTCAAAGTCAACAGTTCTCACTAGAGCCTAGGACACTTTATTAGAAACCAAGTATATATATCATAAGCAAATAAAAAATAATTCTTACCCCCATTAATACAACATAAGGGATTTTACATTCAGCCTAGATACAGGGAGTAACAGATCCTTTTGCCTACAAAACTATGACTTGCAGTATCTTCCACCACATGATTAACTCTATATAATACATAGCCCTTATTTATTAGAGGGATCCAAATATTCCTTTTAGGCTTACAAAGTCTAATACATTCACTCTCTCTTCCCTTTACAAGTCTAATAGTAAAAACTATTCTTTTTTCCATGCAAAAAGCCATTATTCAGTTGAAATCAGGCAAAACAGAGATGGCAGTTAAGGAATGGACAGAATATTATTGGCACATGCCCAGCTAGTGACAGACAAATGCAGTACACCATGACTTAAAAATAAAAGTCACATTACAGGGAGAATGAAAACTACTACATCAGTCTAAACTAAGGAGTCTCAAATGGAAAGGTAGGTCTGAGGGTTACCAGTTTTATTGGTACAAATTAAAAGCAGTGGAGGGCAAGCACTTAAATACAATATATGGTAACAAGAAAAAATACTGCAGAAAGCTGTTCAAAGACCACACCAAGTTGTCTGCATCATTAATTCCAGTGTTTCACAATTAGTAAAATACATAGCTACATATCCCTGTAAGATAAAAACACCTTTCCACCTGAATTACACTGGGGTTGGGGCAGTAACACAAAGCTACTGACCCACCATGAGTTCAAGTGTGTGCAGCAAACGTCTCAGCACTTCTTTCATATAACTATACAATTAAAAACTGTACAAAGAGCTAGGTGGTTGGGGAAAAATAAAGTTATTGTGCTCATTCAGTAAAATAAAACCCTGATGAAAAATTATGTGCCAAGAAGCTTAGACTATAAAGATTTTTATTGCATTTTTAGGTAACCTGGAAGTTCTTATCCTGAAGGGCAAAAGTTGGGTTTAAAACTACCTGAACAGATGCTAAAGTGCTTTATTAATTGGCTGGCTTCATACGGATTTCCTGGGATGACAAAAATAGTAGTAAAGGGATACCAATTATTTAACAAAACTGTACATTCCAACATCATTTATGACCACTGTCATAAGAGATCCTGGAACACTTGTCCTTGTTAAGTGGACAGTTGCATATCAAGAACTGATCATCACAACCCTTTGGATATTCAAATTACTTACACAAAGCCGAAATATGTTATCATGGACCTTTACAAAAAAAGGACAGTTTGTTTCCTTCTACACTTTAAATAATCTGCTTCAGATTACACTTCACAAATACAAGAGTCCTGACTTTTCAACCTTTCCAGTTGTAGTTAAAAATGTACACTTTCTAAAAGTTAAGGTCAAGTGTTACAGCAAGAAAAGAATGCTTCCCATTGAAAAGTACATATATTTTTACTCAATGATACTCATGATAGATTGTAAACTGGATTGATCACATTCTACTCAACTGGTATCAAATAAACACATCAGCATTACAAGTATTAAATGTTTTTCTATTATTATAGAGGATATAAACCAAAACATTAATATGGCAGTTATGTTCTTTAGGCACAGTTTAGTGATTCTTTTTTAAAAATAAATACTATTGAATTTCAATTGAAATTTTGAACTCAATAACCAAAGGGTAAAGAATTCTAATTAGGAAAAAAGAAAAAAAGAAAAACTTTAAGCTAACAATGTAAGCTGTTTAAAATTTCTAACACTTAACCTGTCTGAGTTTTAAGATTACTTTATTAAAAAATACAAGAAATCTGAAAAAGATCAATACAATTATCTTAATGTACAAAGTCATAAGCTGTAGCAGTTTTTAACTAAAATTTAAAAACACAACAAGGAGGGCAGCCCTTTAGACCAATTTATTTTATATCCTTTTAAAATATCATCCAACAAAGGACAATGAAGTTTACAGCTGGGACAGGTATACATAACTCGAGGCATCTATAGTCCATCGTGCCCACTGAATAACAACTTTGCTGCTGAAATTTCTTAAAACTTACCAAACTAAAACAAAAGGCTGAATGATACAAAAGGAGGAGTATTTTGTTGTAATTGTCAATTGGCTTTTTAAAAAAAGGAAACATATCCTGTTTCCCTAGACCAGTAAATAAGCAAGAGCTACATGCAGCAGTGTGGATATTAAGACATTTCTCAAGTCTTCTCAAATGAGTCCAAGGTGGGGATGGGATGGGGGAGAAAATTGATAGAAAAACATTGCTATAGACACCATAACAAACAATAAATTTAGATAATTTAAAATTAAAAAAAAAGGCAAGAGGCAGCATTTCAGCAGCAAAGTGCTTGATAAAAAGTATATTGTAGAGGATAATACAAGAAAGTTGGGGTAAGAGGAGGACAGAAAAATGGGTCAGCAGGATGGGCGAAGGCCTCAAAGGAAATACGGCGTCGTCGTTCTGGGAGGAATAACACGTTCTGAATCTGGAACTGCCCGGAATAACTTTGGTTCTCTTGTATTAACATCTTTGAAGACCATGATGGAAGCAATATTTCCACAGCGATAGCAGTAGTTAGGAGCAGACCACACAGTAACCAGCTTCTCATCAAACATAAATTTATATCCTTCATGTACAAGCTGATGTGCTCTGCAGATGAGTTTTAAGTTGTTGATATGAACAAACTGCAATTTAGAAAGACTTCATTAAGAATTCAGCATATTTTTTTTAAAAAAAACCAACCTACATATATACTAGACATTTAAACAAAGTAACAAATCCTATTAATACTAAAATTCTTATAATTTTGGTACCCTTCATGTATTTGTAATCAGTTGAGAATATAATTATCCTCAATAATTTTGACAAATATAGGCAAACAGAGTCGTTCTGGCCTGATTCAATCACAGAGTTATAGAAACTGCATGGCCATATAAGTAATTTGCTGATGTTTCTGAGCTAGTTGCAGTGGTCCACACTTTAGTCCCAGCTACTTTTTTTTCCTAATTGGCAGTACTTGGAATTGAACCCTGAGATGCTCTGTCACTGAGCTACATCTCTAGCCATTTTTATTTTGAGGCAGGGTCTCAGTAAGTTTGCAAGGCTGGCCTCAAATCTATCATCCTCCTGTCTCAGCCTCCCTAGTCATTGAGATTACAGGCCTAACCATTAAGGAAACACATAAATGAATAAACTGAACTAAAAATTTTATATCCACAGCCACCATAGTTTAAGTATACTACAGATTTGTTATTTGGGCCACCAAATAACAGTTCTTTTAGCAACCAACAAACTACTTTTCCAAAAACATGGGCTTTACCTCATTTGTGACCTTTGCTCCAAAAAGCCAACCTGCTCCTCGAGGACTGATTGCCCAAGTATCCACATCTTCAGGATCTGACCAAACCAGGTCACAAAAGGCTCCTTTATGAGGAATTTCTTGATTCCGTTCAATGGTTCGAATTTGATCCAGTGTTTTGATATCAGGAGATAAGCCACCATGAACACACAAAATCTGTTCATCTATTAACTAGCAAAGGAGAATAATAAAGGATTAAATGTATAATAATAAACTCAGTCATAACTAAATTCATCAATTGTTGCTAAGGTCAACAATATAATTGATATGACAATTAGATAAGAAAATGCAATGTATTACTGACAGAAAAATACCTTTTTAAAATCTTTTTTGTGTGTGACAGAGTGTGTGTGTGTGTGTGTGTGTGTGTGTGTGTGTGTGTGTGTGTGTGAGGGTGAGAGAGAGAGAGAGAGAGAGAGAGAGAGAGAGAGGGAGAGAGAATGGTACTAGGGAATTGAACCTAGAGGCGTTTTACCACTGAATAATATCACTAGGTATTTTTGTTTGGTTGGTTTTTGTATTTTGAGACAGGGTCTTGCTGAATCGCCAAAGATGGCCTTGAATTTCCCCTGCTGAAGGCTCCAGAGTTACTGGGATTACAGGCATGCATCCCTGTGCCTGACAAGTTTTAAGAAGAATCATGTAAACTTACAGCTGCTACTGTGAGCATATCAAAAACTTTGGTACAGTATCTCCAAGCATTAGCATTTCCATATTTGGTTTGGCACTCATCTGTGAAAAAAATAAAACAGTATAATTAATGAAGTTCTGAATCTGCCAATAAAAATAAACAATATATCTAATACTGGAGCAGCATTCAGTATAATAGAAATTTGGCTTAAGACTAGGACAGAAAATTATGAAACATATTTAACCCTAATAGGCCCTCCTCAGAGAGCTAAAAGAAGACTAGTGTCTAAATATACATGTCCTGAGGAAAGGGTTCTGCTTTTCACTCCAGGAATGGCCCTAAGTAGCTAAATTAGCCAAAATGCTATCATCAGAAAGCCAACTATTAATTTCATGCCATCCAAAATACATGCACTGGGCAGTTATGTTAATATGAGGCAATTCATCAAATAGATACATTTATTTAATGGGACTTACGCCAGGAGATAAACAAATTATAGGACCTTTATTTATATGAGCATGAGGAACTGCTATCTCAACATTTCAATGGCATAAGTTATCTTTCCTGAGATTATAAACTGTGCAACTGAGTACCCGACGTACAGTAGGTACATCTGTAGTCATCACTAGGGACAAACTCTCAATCAGGTCCTCATATATTCCCAGTTGACCATTCTCTCTGACGTCTATGTAGTTAACAGGGTATATACCTCTTTTCTTTTAAGTAACACCAGACAAGTTCTGCTGTTTGGCTTCTACTTTAAGTTTTTTTGGCTAGGGGAGGCACCAGGGATTGAACTCAGGGGCATTCAGCCACTAAGCCACATCCCCAGCCCTATTTTGTATATTTTATTTACAGACAGGGTCTCACTGAGTTGCCTAGCACCTCGCTTTTTGCTGAGGCTGGTTCTGAACTTGCGATCCTCTTGTCTCAGCCTCCTGAGCCTCTGGGATTACAGGTGTGCACCACTGTGCACGGCTGGCTTCTACCTTAATTTTGAAATAAAAATAGACACACCACTATTTCCTTAAGTGCAGCTGAAAATGATACAAAACAGAAGCCTGCGGTTTATGGTCAATCCTCATAATTTCCTAATTTATCTATGTAAAGATCCTTATGCAAACTTATCATGAGAGAGCTCTACCATGGAGATCAGTTTGCAGGAAGGAGCCATGTATTTTTTTTTTTATAAAAGACTGAATATTTTTTTAAATACCAAAAAGCTAATAATTTCTCTCCTATGTGATGAAACTATGGATTATTTTTATTTCTTCATTGCATATTTTGCAAATTTCCCATAATAATTTTTAAATGTATATTAGTTTCATATATAAAATTTTTTAAAATTTTTTATTGGTTGTTCAAAACATTACAAAACTCTTGACATATCATATTGCATACATTAGATTCAAGTGGGTTATAGGAGCCATGTATTTTTAATCTTCAAACAAAGTTCATAAAATTGCCCAGTGTATGTTCATCAGTGTGAACTGAGCAGCCAATATAAATAATAGCCATATATGACTTTAACTCAATGTTAAAGTCTATGTAGTTAACAGGGTATATACCTCTTTTTTTTTAAGTAACACCAGATTTAAGTAAATTCCATGACCATTCAAATTATCTCCTTTCTGAGGAGCTACTGGACTTCCTTTTATGAAACAAAACCATAAAACCCACTAGATGAACATAGCTTTGGAAACAAAAGTTAAATAGCAGACTGTGCTGTCATTTTCCTCACACAAAACATGTTGACTAACATGTCCTCCCCTCTCTTTTTCCCTAAACTCTTTTGCTTGATGATGAACAGTAGTCAGGTTCTATAGCACAATTTTACATCTATACACATATATGCACACACATATATACAATTGTCTCATACATATATATGTGTATGTATGTGTGTATATAAATATATATATATACATGAGATTATGTGTATGTGTGTATGTATATGTAAATGGTCTTATATATATAATATATTATACAATATATAAATATATATACAGATAGACCATCCCTAATTTAAAAATCTGAAATCTTAAATACTCTAAAATCCCAGACTTTTTGAAAATTCCACACTGGACCTCACATGATAGGTCTCAAAACATGAACAAAGCCAAGTGCAGTGGCGCACAACTGTAATCCCAGAGGCTCAAGAGGCTGAGGCAGGAGGATCACAAGTTCAAAACCAACCTCAGCAAAGGCGAGGTACTAAGCAATGCAGTGACACTCTGTTTCTAAATAAAATAGGGCTGGGGATGTGGCTTAGTAGTCGAGTGCCCCTGAGTTCAATCACCAGTATCTGCTCCCCACCACAAA